AGTTCGGTATTAAATCGGATAATCAGATCGAATCAAAATTTCACATAAATGTGAAGGATGCTAGATAAAGGTTGGAAATATTATTTATATATTTTAGAAAAGTGATATTTAACATGGATCAATGGAATTAAGGTCGATTTTCCATGTTAAGCCAAAATTTTGGAATTAGGTGACTAAATTGTAAATTTCAAAAATTACAAGGACAAACATGAAAAATTTGAATTAAGATATTTTCTGAATTTGATGAGGTAAGGGATGATGTCATGGACTGCCATGGGTGTAATTTTGAGAATTCATTAATGGTAAGTTAGTCTTTTAGCCTAAAATGAAAAAAAAATAGTTATAATTGATTTTTTAAGGGTTAAAGTAGGAGATTTTTTTGGAATGCTCGTGAACTTCTCTTCTCTCCTCCAGCAGGTTGCTGAAACCCATAGCCAAGGTAAGAAAATTTATTGTCTTCCATTTTTTGACCAAATTTAGTGAGTTTTTGGACTAAAACGTGAAATAAGAAATTTACTTACACTAATTTCTCTATAAGATGGTGTAATTAATTATTGGTTTCATGTTTGAATGGTGGTAATGGGTGATTTATGTGGATGAAGGGGAAGTGTGATTTTTATGATTAAAGATTGATTCTTGATATTAGAAGTGTTGTAAGAATTGATAAAGAACCTAAGGATGCAAATTAATGAAAACAGTTTAGATTTTGAATTTGGCAGTGAGTTTGAAAATTCACCAGAAATTCTATAAAAATTATTTGGAGGTTATTTTTATATATTATGTTCTTATATCAATATAGTTTTTTTTTAAATAAACGGGGATCAATTTCAAGATGTATAAAAAAGATATGAATTTTTAACCAAAGAAAGGTCAGAAAAACGGGCAGCAGATTCTGCATAAAACATATTATGTTAGTCAACTTTGAAAATTCACCATAAATTGTACAGATTGAATTAGAAGGAGTTATGTATATGGATAGATTTGTATTCGAGTCTAGTTTTCAACGGAAGAAACGGAATTAAATTTCAGTGAGTGTATCAATACAGAATATTGATTCTTTAAAGGTAGTGCAAGTTGTCTGAATATGGAAACTTTAGAATTTAAGTTGAAATTGATTAGAAGATGAAGAGTAATTTTTAAATGTAAAAGTACCATTTGGGTGAGTTAGAATAATTCTGGAAATTTTGGAAAGTGTGCTGCTTTTTGGAGTTAAGTATTAAGTTGGGATGAATTTCAAGTTATCAAGTTGTAAGGTTGAAGTATTGATTTGAACTTTTATTAGTTGCTGGAAATTTATATTTAATGGAAATGATCATAATAGTGAAGAGCTATTATGAAATTAAAGGAAAAGTTGAGTTTAATTCTGGAAAGAATTTAAAATATGTGGTTTGATTTTATAATTGGTAAAAGTTGAAGATCATGTTGGGAATAATTATTTGTGGAATGAATAAGTGTTTGAGAATTTGAAGTTATAATGGAGTTAGAGTTAGGTTGATATCGATTTAGTTATCGATTTTTTTTATAGATTCTCAAATGTAAAAATGAGCTGATATAGAACGATACTAATATGTAGTTTAAACATTTTGTGTTATAATTTCGTATTGTCAGATTACAAAAAACTTGCAATCCGAACAATCTGAAAGGAAAGGACAAAGCTTGTGACTAGTATTATCGTATACAAGTTCTTAAGTGAGGCAAAGGTGAGTGCAATTTATTTAATATTTGATCGAGTACGACTTGCGATAAGTCAACCTCACCTTATTATTTCAAAGATATGAATTATGTTTTGATTATGAAATTATATCCATAATTTTTTTAATAGTTTTATGAAAGTTTTTGGACATGAACTGTCCATGTCACATTTTAAGAATATGAATTAAATATATTTTCGACTCTGATATGATGTTTATCAAATGGTTAAGAAATGAACTAAAAGCACATTGTATGTTATATTGAGAGTCAAAGGTACAATTGGCATGCCATGAGGTGGAGTGATTATCTGTTCTGATTTGGATATACTGTGGTGTACCGGAGTGTACACTAGTATATATATATTATGATCTGAATGCACCTGGTGTGCATATTGTTATTTCCGTTGTGATAGCACTGTGTGTGCTTATCTGTTCCGACTGATGATCTGATATCTGTATTGCGCACACTCGTCTGACTCACGTATCTATATTCTTAAATATACTTGGGCTATAAAAATGAAATAAGAAAGTTCTGAAAAGTGTCTGACTACAAAGAATTATGAATTGATTATTCTGGCTTATCTGATTATTTATGATCTTGTGAAAATTATCAGATGATTATTTTTAGGTTTATTATAAAGTTCAACATGAGATATCTGGTTTGAATGTTCTGAAGAATTTCAGTCTATTTTATTTTAATGATTTTATATATTTTGATATTTTATTTAATTATTCTCACCTTTAGTATTATTGCCTCACTAAGTTATATTTAGCGCGTGATGATTTTCATGCGTAAGTTCTAGTAAGGATAAGTACGATCAGTAAGGAGCTATCGGAGCATCTTTTGGAAAGACATACATATCATCAGTATCAGTAAGACATCTATGATGTTTCTTTTGACTTATAGTGGCATGTATAATTATATCAATAGTTTCTAATTATCGTATTTATTTTAAATAAATTGTAATAGTAAACTAGAACTATTTTAGTTTATTTTACTTAGTTTAGTTTTATTGGTAACTATGCATGACAAGAATTTATTACATTATTATGTTTTTAAAAGGTTTTACGAAAAGACATGGTTTAGTAAAATTACTGAATAAATAATGATTTTATTTTCCTGTAATAAAGAAATAAATTATAATCTGAAATATACTTTAAAATAGATTTTTAAAGTTAGAACAAGAGTATTTTCAAAGAAACATTTTTTTACGAAAATTTTAGTTCAGTAAATGTTTTCAGTTTGATGTGACATCTTTAACTCGTATATCGAGACATATACGGGTTAAGGGTGTTACAGTTCGCCTTCCTGAGGGTAAGAAGCTGATTGGTTGCAAATGGGTGTATAAGAAGAAACCAACAGTAACAGAAAAAGAGGGGGAGAAGTTCAAGGCTCGTTTGGTAGCAAAGGTTTTTTCACAGCAGAAAGGAGTTGATTATGTTGATATTTTTTCTCCTGTGGTCAGACACACTTTAATTCGAGCAGTACTTACATTGGTGGCTAGTTGGGATTTGCATTTAGAGCAAATGGATGTGAAAACTGCTTTTTTGCATGGTGATTTAGAGGAGTAGATCTACATGCAGCATCCTAAAGGTTTCACTTAACCTGGAAACGAGCATTTAGTTTGCAGATTGAAGAAATCTTTGTACGAGTTGAAACAGTCTCCGAGACAATGGTACAAACGATTTGACTCCTATATGATCAAGATTGACTACAAGCGATGTGAGTATGATTGTTGTGTCTATGTTAAGAGCCTTGATGATGGTTATTTTATTTTTCTGTTACTGTATGTTGATGATATGTTAATTGCTGTGAAGAACATGGATGATGTTATCGATTTGAAAACTTTATTGAGTCAGGAATTTGATATGAAAGATTTAGGTGCTGTAAAGAAAATTCTTGGAATGAAAATTTGCAGGGACAAATAATCAAGGAAACTGTGGCTATCTCAACGGGGTTATGTTGAGAAAATGCTAGAAAGGTTTGCGATGAGCAGCACAAAACCAGTGAGCACTCCATTGGCGAATCACTTTAAGCTCTCATCAGAACAGTTCCCTAAGACAGATAAGGAAGCTGAAGATATGGCAAAAGTTTCGTATTCTAATGTTGTTAGCTGCTTGATGTATGCAATGGTATGTACTCGTCGTGATTTAGCTCATGTTGTTAGTCAAGTTTGTATGTACATGTCTAAACCTGATAAGAAACAATGGGAAACAATCAAGTGGATCTTTAGGTACTTAAAGGGTACTGTGGGACATGGAATGGTTTTTGATAGTCAGCGGGATAATCCTTTGGTTGTAGGATATGTGGATTCAGACTATACGGGTGACTTGGATAATAGAAGATCTACGATATGGTATGTCTTTACTCTTGGTGGAGGTCCTATTTGTTGGAAGTCTACTATTCAATCTGTTGTGACATTATCTATAACTGAAGCTGAATACATGACAACGGCTGAAGCTGCAAAAGAAGCTTTATGGCTTACTGGTTTAGTGAAGGAGTTGGGTGTTCAGCAAGGTGGAGTTCAGTTGCTTTGTGACAATCAAAGTACTATTCACTTGGCTAAGAATCAGGTATATCATGCTAGAACTAAGCATATTGATGTAAGGTTTCATAAGATCAGAGAGTTGGTTGCATCTGGAGAGATTTTGTTTCAGAAGGTACATACTGATGAGAATGCCGCTGATATGTTCACCAAACCAGTTACGACAGACAAGTTCATGCATTGCTTGGACTTGTTGAGTGTTTCTAGTTGTTAAAGAAGTAAGGTAACCCAACCCACATTGAATGTTTCCTAAGGGGCAGGATATTCACCAAAGTGGAGATTTGTTAGGTATGTCTCATAAATATACCGAGAAAGTCTTGTAATGGGGGTTACGATTATGTGAGTTGGGGGTGCGGGGGTTACGGCCCCGCGGTATGGTACAGAGTTATTTTTGTAAATATGTACCAGAGTTTTTTTATTATAAAAGGAGACGCAACCTAAATCTATGAGACATTGAATTGAATAAAAATTCTAAAACCGCCTAAGGCACTGAGGACGTAAGCACATTGCTGAACCTCATTAAAATTCTTGTATTTTTTCTGTTTTCTTTACCCAATTATTCAACAGAAAGTAAATTACATTGACCAGTGTGTTTTAATTTCAAGTTTCTACTTGTATTGCATAACGACATTTATGAAGAGAACTAGTCAATATAACAACATTTATGCATAGAATCTTACTATTATTTAATAAATTTTAAATGACAGATATCTCTTTGTTTCAAGGACAGTGACAATACAACTGCATTCTAACATCGTATATGTAACAATATAATATCCGAATTCCAATAATATAATTCTCATGGTAGTGATTTGCGGAACTTGAGAGCTTCAAAACGAGCTGCAAGATCATCATAATCCGGCAATTTCGGGTGAACACGATGAATAGAAGAATCACGTTTATCATCATGAGATACTGGAGGTGGAAGATCATCTTCTGCTTCTATTTCTTCATCACAATCTGATTCATCAAACTTTATGTCTGAATATGCAGGAGGGGCATTATTGTAGCTGTGTCTCCTCCAGGTCTTCCCACCTTCATCGTTGCTGGGTCTTACTTCCTCACTACTTGGAGCGAAAAACGTTCCGAAACTCCGAGATTCATTGATTCCCCTAGGTCCAGGAGGATTGGTTGGAACGAATCCAAGAGTGGAGTTAACACAACCGGAGGCTTCACTAAATAGATTACTGTTCCGGTTGGCCAAATATGCAGCAGCTTGTGCTGCAGCAATTGCTCTTTTCGCAGATTCTTCAGCAGCTTCAGCGGCTGCAACAGTGTTTTTAAAACGAACAGGGTCCTCTTCCCCTCTGCCACATTTTTTACAGTAAGAGCAAATAATGATGGGAAAAATTTGTTTGAAAATTCATCAAACAGTTACCTGGTCGTCAACTCTTTCGGCTCAGGGAACGGAACTGTAGCATGTTTCACAGGTAAGCTGGAAGCACTAACGAATGAACGTGGCCCCTCCTATTCATCATTTAGTAAAAAAAAGAACATAAGTTTATTAAAACAACAATGATTGAACTTATAGACCGAATGAAGTTAGGAACTAACTATAAGGTCTTCAGGAGGTTTGAGCAGCTCCTTTTCTGATTCAGATATATCCCATTCTATATTGTGCTCCTTAGCTATTTCCTTCATGACTTTCAATTTTGCTTCACCTGTAGGTGTTTTCACCGAGAGCTTGTCAATCAGCTGTAGGCACAGACACAGAGGTAAGGCATTGTCAGTCTTAACCTACATTGATATCCTACAATGGAACAGGCAAATGATAGAAGAGAAAGCTAACCAAGCGATTAACACCGCAGTTGGGTCGCAGATCAGTGGCTGCAACTACAAAATCTGCTCCATATTTCTTCTCAAAAATGTTTCTGATTTCTATCAGCTCTGGGATTTCAGCACATCTTGGGGACGCAAATATCAAACTAGCAATCCCTTCTTTTAGATCAGCAGGGCATTCCCTGGAGCAATTGGACGCCTTTAGGTACCTTTTTTTTTATGTAAAGAGAATCTATAGAACGTAAAATAACCAACTCACCTTCGCTTTTTAATGATGGAAAGCCTGGCTACAACTAACTCACAAAAGAGCTCAATGAACTCATTTGCAGCCAAAACATTCTGTTCTCTTATGACATGCTCAATCTACAACACCCATTACAAAATCAGAAACAAAATCTAAATACTATGAATCGATGCTAATAGTAAACTAAAGAGTAAAAAAGAAAAAAATTACTCGAATGCGGGCAGTGGCGTCTTGACCGGACTGAAGAAGCAGGGCGATGTCACGCCTCATTTGCTTCACCACCACTTGTCTCTTGTTCCTGAGTAGCTTTATCCTCGCAACCGCCATTTTGGCCGCTGTTTTGCTAGGGTAAATAACAAAAGATGTTAAAGAAATGGAAAGCCAGAATAGAAAAATCTGTTCTTGACTGGTGTTGTAAAAAAAGGTGTAAGTTTTGGTTTAAAGAGAAATAGAAGAAAAGAAAGGAAAGGAGAGTAGAGGGTTTTACCATTTGGAGGAGTTGAAACCATTGCCAAAGAGGGAGAGAGTAAGCTTCATCAGCTTCTTGGAATGGGCGGCGGCGGCGGTGGCAACAGTCATGGCCCTTGCAGAATAGAAGAGAGGAAGGAAGAATGGTTTATTTAATCGCAAAGGCTCGAAAGCGAAAATGAAATATTTGCATTGGGATACTCTTCCGTTTCTCAGCGTTTCTATTTTTGATTTTTTTCTATTGATCAGGTCCCACTCTGATTAGTGGGCGGCAATGTAACCGTTATGTGATTTGACACGTGTGAAGAATCCGATGGGGATAAAATATTGGGCTTCAACTTTGATCAAAGAAACCCATTTTCCATAACGGTTGAATGAAAATTTAATTTTTAAATGTTACTGGGCCTGTACTTTAAGGCTCATATACTAATATAATCTTCAAATATGCAATACTAATTATGTATTTAATTTTGGGAAAATTACAAATTAATCATTTAACTTTATTATTACTCTTATTTTGGTCAGAAAAATTTTAAAAATTCAATTTTTCACTCAACTTTAACATTGTCCTATTTTAATCACTCGGATGTTAAATCAAACAACATGTTGGTTGATGTGGTTAATTTTTCGTTGATATGAAAGCTATGTGTTGTCCACCTAATTTTCTTTTTTAAAATTCTATTCATCCCTTTACATCGACCACCATCCATGATTATCATCATCTATTTCACCGCTCTACGTGACATCTTTGTTTTTGGTTCCTTTAATATTCTCTCTTAATACGCTGCTCTTTGCTGCCATGAGTTTGTTGGCAATAGTGCCCTAGGCCTATTGAATAGATACAATATTTTGATTATTTGATTTATTATTATTATTATTTGCATGCCTTTTCTACATTACTATTTTTGAATAGTATTGTTAATTATTTTAAATATTTTTAAATGATTATTATTGTGGGAACAGTAATAAAATAAGATTGATATGAAGTTTAGCTATTTATGTCGATAATCTTATTCCTTACTTTTCTTTTATTTTCTTATATCGCATTATTACTTAAGTCTTTATAGTACGTTTTTTTATGCCTTTATGACATGTTTCCTTTGCTTTTGGCACGTTTTCGGTCTTTTATATTGGTCGTTTGGTTGTTTATTTTTATTTTATTTTTTAGGGTTAAATTTGACATCGCCTCAACTGATCAAAATGACACTTATTAGCTATTTTGTTGATCTTCCCTACTTCGAACCATCAGATTGGATTAGATATATAGTTCATGTTTGGAGATAGTTTTCTCATAATGCTTGGCTTTGATATACAAATGTTTGTGATCTTTTAATAGTTTGATCTCCTATTATGATTTGTTTACCGATGTAGTTATATTTGTTCATATATATATATTTGTTCGAGTTTGTGATTGGTTTTTAACCTTTCTCTTATATGATCCTTTATGATCTTAAATGGCTAGTTTCTTGTGTAGATGATTATAGGAATATGTCCTAATTATGTGTTTAGTTTACGATTATATTTGTAAACCTTCATCGTAATTTTAAATATTTCTTAATTTTTTAATAAAACAAGCAACTTCTATTTGCATAAAAAATTTCATTGCATTATTTTGAAAAAATTATTTTAGAAATCATCTCAACATTAAAACCTTTTCATATAAAAATACTTTTACTCAAATAATATATTTTATTAGTTTTTAGTAATATTTGGTCCTTAGGTTTACAAATATAGTATCTTAAGTTTTGGATATTTCAAATTAAAAAGATTAAAATTCTCTTAGTTTCAATAATTCTCATAGATATAAATTATAAACTTATATAATTCATAACATATTATATGAAATTAATGATCCATTTTTTTCCTAAACACTCCTATATTCTTTAATATTTTAGGGTATAATGTATTTTCAATCACCCTCACATTCTTTATGTCACACCCAATTTAGGGGTTAAATTATAAGTTTTAGAAATTTATAGTCAGTTTTAGAAAGTTATAGGAAATTCAGGTATCGAGCCTTGAATTTACCCATTTTTCTTTAACAGTGAAAAATTTAAGCCCACTTGTCCAGTAACTCAACCCGTGAACCCCAAACTCGTTCCCCCTGAACCAGCCCCTTCCCTCCTTAAAATACGCCTTGCTCCGGCCGTCGGTAAGTGTCACCGCCACCTTCAGTTGAAGCACCGTGACCATCTGACCAAAACCCCTAAGGTTGATCGTTAAAAGCCGTCTCCGTTTGTCGTAAAACCCGTCATAAAGCTTCATCATCTCCACCATCGATCGCCTCGATTTTTTCGTTGGTTTCGATTGATCCGGTGATCGTCTTACAACACCGTTGTTACCAATGTGTTCCCTTGCCAGTTCCAATCAAAACCTGACCCATGGGTCACCGCACCGTCGTCGTTCTTACCGTCCGCCGTGGGTAAACTTGGATTTTGTGTTTTCGGTGATTTTAGAGAATTTTATTGTGATTGTTAGATTGATAATTAGTTAATTCGAATATGTGGATTATCAAGGATGAATCGGATGTTCAAAATGGCCTATGTTACAGTCGTACACGTCAACAATGCGCGTGGGGCTCCTCCGCCGGTCCAGGAAATTTATGGAACTAGTCTAGTCATATCAAACCGGTCCAAACCAGTCTGAACTGAGTCTGTTTGACCCGACCGAGTCATCTCATACGAGTCAACCTGTTGACCGTTGACTTTGACCTAAAAAGTCAACTTTTTCTGAAAAGGTCTTATTTTACGTTTTTCGAAGTCCTGAGCATGAATCCAAAGTATGTTTTACCAAATTCGAACCCGGTAAGCTATTTTTTAGTAATTTATTTTCAGAATCAAAATTGGTTTTCCGATTAAGTTTAGTTTCTGATGTAAAATTGTTTGCTATGTATCTGAGGAATTATTGGACATTGAATTAAAGTTCGAGGATGATCGAATGGATTTTAAATGGTCGATTGATATGGCATAAAAATCGAAGTAATACTCTACTACCTTTTGTATGCTCTTCAGAACTCATTGATAGATGATAAATGCATGAATGAAAATGATTGGTCCATTAGATGTATTTAACTATCATTGGACTCAGACGTAAATTGGAATAAAGACAAAACACTGTATAAGACTCAAACGACTCGAAAAAGAGAAACTTGAAGATCAATCGGAAATAATTATAAGGTCACTGATTCAATAATAATTGAATTGGTTTCAAGATGTGCAAATTTTGATAAATCTCTTTAAAGTTTAAATACCGGGATTATTTGGATAAGAAAATACCAAAAATAGCCCTATGGGTAAAAATTACGAAAATGACCTTGTATTGTAAAAGACCAATACTTCCCCGGATGGTGAAAGATAACCCAGAAAAGACATACTTGACCAGTTATCAGAAATAGTGCATATGTTTGAATTGAAAAGAATTATCATAATGTCCTCGAGCCATGAAATAACTATAATAATCTTCATTGATCAAATGAACTAGAATACTTGAAGCCTATTATACCAGAAGTAATGTCACTGACAGATTTGAATGAAATGACGATGAAACGCTGAAAGTGTAAAAAAGCACAATGGATGGCTATGATAATGAAGACGACCTGAGAACACATATGTTGATCCAATTGAACCTTAGAATCATCGATTTAAATTTCGGAGCTATATTGGAATGCCCTTGAAATGTAAAATGATCCAAAGAAAGTCTAAGCACTAGAATAACTAAATACCCTCCAGCTCTGAAATGAATAAATCAACCTCGAATACCAAATGACCTAGAATTTCTATTTTCTGATATAACACCCGGAGACTGAATTATCAAAGGTACTTTACACGTCTGAATTTCTTTAAATGACTAAATTATATGACCAAGTAGAACTGAATGGAAGAACTATATATATCCGAAATTCAGAAATGATTGAATTCCTCTGGAAATTCTGAGGTGATCGGGATAGACTTAACTACCAAATGACCTAAGTATCTTCAAAGACCTAGAATTAAGTGAATGACTCAGACAAGTCTGGAAACATTGATGAACTTATATGTTGTACCACCCTCAAGAGTTTTCAACCCCGAAATAAGCATGTCAACATTTATTAATATCCTTGCAGTACATAAAATAAATAAATACCACTGGAATACCTATTCGTCTCCTCAAGAACTGATAAACGATGATTCTGATATTGATCAGATCAACTGGTGCAGTCAGTAATAAGAAGTGAATAATAATAATAATGAAGTATCACAGTCCGAATGATTGACAAATATTGTAGAGTTGGGATCGTTGGTTCAATTAGACTCAAATTCTTGGTAATTTAATACATAATCCTGAATATCCCTGATTGTTTGAGTAATGGAATCACTCTCAGTAAATCTGAATCTAAAATTATTCTAATGTAAATGTTCCTAAACACCTTCATGATGCACCTGAATCAAAACGGAGTTCTAAAGTATCAACTTTAAATGTCTGATTAGATCCATTAGTTATCGATCCCTTTCAATATGACCTCATTCCTAGAATTCGATGAAATTACATAAGTTTCATGTTCTCCTGATAACTATTAAGTGCATCTGAAAAATATTTGGATCCTCTAGTGTGTTACCATGTCCTACTTGATTGTCTTATATGTTTTGAAATACGTTTCACCGAAATTATTAATTTACTGGCTTATGAACCATGGCTACATGGTATGTGTTCTCTGATTACGGTTTTCACTAGAAAAATATGATTGTTCCTGATTTATGGAATCATGAGATTTTCTGGTTTATGAACTATGATTTTCTTTTTTCACTGGTTACTACTTGAACTGCTTTACTGGGACATTATCTAGGTAGACTGAAGGTTCAGCTCTGATCGAGCTGGTAAATCCTTATGGACCTAAGGGGGAGGTGGTGCACTAGATATTCTTAAATACCAAGTATTCCCTAAAATTAATCACAAACATGCACTTTCACATCTATCACATTTTTCTGCATTAGCCGTTCATTATTTGCATAATATATTCCCCTTTTTTAAATATGTTTTGTAATAAAACTAATTAAAAATATAAATTGTACTTCAATGATTATCTTAATCTTTAAATATTATGGTTTAACTCAACCTATATAATTCTTACATGAAAAACTAATTGTAAGGCCATTTTTTCAACCAAAAAAAAAATCATAAAACTC